ATCCTCTTCTCTCTAATGCTATTAAAGACTGAAAGAAAGCTCAATCACATTACAGAATTGAAACTTATATATATATGAGCCCTCCTCGGACTACTTGCACTTTGAAAGACAACAGCTTAGCTGAAAGAAATTATCTATCACTTTCTGCTATCAAGGAAGATTTTGGGGAGGTGAAAAGCCTTCTTTCCTTGTTCTCTTAACATGTAGGTGATTACACTTTACTTTCAGCTTCTAGAGGAGAAAGTTTGCAATGGAAAAAGACAGAGAAGTAATGATCACGGGAAAAGAGGATGAGGAGTGGGGAAAGAAGGAGAACAGGGTAGAACTTTATCTTTTCCATATCTGGTAAACCACCATACTTTGTGGAAGTGAAATGCATACTTTCAGCACTTAACCAGCATGTACCAATAATGAAACCGACCTTCAGGCCTTCTTTTGACAGAACAATCCTAACTATAATGTAAAGTAATTATCTATCACTTTCTGCTATCAAGGAAGATTTTGGGGAGGTGAAAAGCCTTCTTTCCTTGTTCTCTTAACATGTAGGTGATTACACTTTACTTTCAGCTTCTAGAGGAGAAAGTTTGCAATGGAAAAAGACAGAGAAGTAATGATCTTTCTCTCCCTCTCCTTCTTTTCCCTCCCCTATACTCATTTAGGATCTGATCACAGAGTCAACACTGGGCTATGCATTATTCTCTCAGCAAACGGTACCCTTTCATGGCTTCACACCAGTGCTCATGTTAGTCCCTTTACCTGAAACCGTCTTCCGTCTGTTGCTCTGCCTATTCAAATCCTATTCATCCAACGAGACCCAATTAAAATGCCAGCCATGATGCCTTCTCCAGTTCTTCTACCCTGAGCAAGACCAATCCCTCCCTCCATTATGACTCCACAACACTAGTGGATATGTTTATATTTTATAACTCATCATCTTATATATGTTAATATGTTGCTCTACTCCACAAGACGTAAACTACTTCAAGTTGGGGCCAGGTCTTATTTATTCATATTTTCTGTGCCTAATACTGCTATATATCAGGCATGATAAATGTATATACTATAGTCTGGACAGTATAAAATGTTTACAGTTTCATAAAGGAGACAAGGTTTACAGACATAAGAGAGCAAGACAGTATAAGGGATTGGGCTAGGAAAATGAGGGTTAGGTAACTACTAAATTCCACAAATATTTATTCAATAGCCAGGAGTCAGGAATTATGTCCTGGGACTACTAGGATAAATAAAATAGTTATTTCCTTTGAGGTGCTCACAATCCATCTTGTAGATACTCTTTAAACGTGGACAACACTTCCCTGGCTTACCTATCACTTTACATGTTGTTCCTTACAGCAACCCTGTGATGTACATCATTATTTTCATTTTTATGGAGATGGAAACAGAGGGTTTGAATTCCCAGGTCTTCTGACTCCAAGGCCAGGTTTTTCTACCCCACTACATCAGTGTTCCTCAAAACTTTCCTCTGGTGTACACTTTCCCAGTAGAGAATAAATGTAGGCTCCTCAGGGTTGGGATATACTTGTGTGTTATCTTAAAAAGCCATGCTTACTACAATGTCTTACCTTACCTACCAGAGAGTCAAAACGATGCTGAGAGGAAATGAGCCACATTGATTCTGGGTCCTTGAGGGTCCTCAGGACAGGGTTTCACAATCAGAGGAGTCCCAATATGAGAAGCACATGGCTACACTCCTGCCTTTATTCAGGGTCCCTGGGTTTGGCTTGAGTCCACACCCAAAATTTTGTGTAACTTCATCAGATTTCTTAATGTCATAATTTTATTCAGTCTTCTCTGAAGACGAACAAAACACCCACTGTACTCACAGATGTTAAGTGAGTAGTGAGGACTGACCCTTTCCTCCCTGAAAGGATATCTCACTCTAGCAATAAGATCTCCTCAGTCTGATACTATTTGCCACCCCTCCCATTGCTGGTCTTCAACTCCCTGTGGGTCCTGGAAGGCCGGAAAAGGCTTACCACCACACTCCGGTCAGCACCGCCGCTAGAGGGCAGCCCGCGGCTGCAGCTTCGTGAGCCCTCTACTGGCTGCTGGGGTGACCTGGCTCTTTTATGGAACCCATTAAAAACTCTCAGAAGTTGCACTTGGGAAGCCAGCCTGTGTGACACCCGGTAGCGAAGTTTTTAGGAAACGTCTTGGTTCTCAGCTTCCTTTTCTTAAGGCCTTTGGCAGGCCTCAGATACGTTACCCCCTTGATGAGTCTCCCACTTCCTAAGGATCTCCCCCTCCCAGGGTGTTGCAACTTGGAGTCATCATTCTCTCTTGGCAAGGCAAAAAATTAGAACCTTGGGGGAACTTGGCAACTTTCCTCAACGTGATACAGGGCATACACATACACACACACACACGTGTATATATATATACACCTACAATTCAAGAATTTTCAGCGTTAATTCCAGTTTCAGCATAGCTTGCAAGCTCTGGAATTAAACTTCCAGGACTCAAATTTTGGCTCCTGCATTTGCTAATTGGGTAATTTTAAGAATGTTAATTAACCTAAGCTTCCATTTCATCTGTAACAGCGGGAGAATAATACCTACATCATACACTTTTGGGGAGGAATAACTATGATAATGTATGGAAAGTGCTAGTCTGGCACATAAAGTGTTCAACAAACATTAGCTATTTTTATTCTTTAAAGCTTCTGTCTAGTGCACACCATGTCTATCAATTTGGTCCAGAAAAATACTGTCTTCACACACCCACATGAAGATATGTATGCAAAATGAATTTCATAAACCACCTATAGTTTCCTAAAGTGGCTAAGCTAATAAAGACCTCAGAGTATGGAAAAGGGGGCTCATGTGTGATGCAATTCGTGCAATGGGTAGTTGAAGCATAGCGTAATCCAAGAGGCCACGGTGGGGGTTGGGGGGCGCTGTGTTTCGCACACAGGTGTTCTTTCTCCCCGCACCCCCACCCTCACCCCTCACCACGTGCAAGCATTCAGTGTGAGTCTGCGCCTTGAGTCTGTGGGCCAGGACAGAGTGCACAGTGGACAAAAGCAAGAGGGTTTCAGGCCAAGGCAGGGAACTGAGAACTCAAAGGCCCGGGAACCCAAGCCAATCAGATTCACCATCCACTAGGAGTCTAAAAGGTGGCAGAGCCTCACAGCCCAAAGTCCACTCACAGCAGGAAAGTGGCCAGAGGATCTGACAGGTAGAAACCCGATAGAGACTCTATCAGAAAAGTTAAAGCTGAAGGGCTCAAAACACCCACGGGCCCAAAGAAAGGTCAGTGTGAGCTGAACAGCTGTTCCATTTGGTGCCAGAGGCCTTGGCTGTTGTCTTCTACATCCAGGCAGCCTCCCTGATCAGCCCCACCTAGAAAAGCCAATTCTTCTGCTCTTAAAGGAGACTCACTTATTTGTAGCAAAGCTATCATTTAGGTATGAATGGGAAGGGGGGGAACGGTGCGGAGTCTGCGGGGGGAGGGCGGGTGTTCAACGGGCTCCAAAGGAAGGAGCTCGTGGCTGAAGCCTGAGCCTCCATGTTGTGAGTACTACATGCGTTTCTTTCAGAGGCAGACAGGGGCCTTGGCTGCAGGGACCCTGACAAGCCGCGACTTGAGCTATGCTTTAGAGCCTGGATTGAATTGGGAGCGGTATAAAGGAGGAGGGAGGGCATGCCTGGAAAGGGGGTGGGGTGGGGTGGGGAGGTGGAGGGGAACAGCATGAGCAAAGGCACGAAGGAAGAATGAATCTGCTGCGCGTTAAGGATGGCATAGAGACTTCCCTGATTGGAGCCGGGAGTTCTTGCAGGGGGATGGAGGCCGCTATGATTGGATAGCTAAAGTGGGGCCAGATTTGGAGGGCTTTGAATGCCCGACCGAGGAGCACTGAACCCAGCTCCTGACTCGCGATTTCCGTTCAAAACCGAATTACCTAAAGGGTGGTTAATTCCAACGTGTGTTCCTCTTTGGGGGCTTCTGAAAAGTCGGTTTATCGTCTTACCTGCTTCAGTTCTCTTCATTTACTCAGGGAGGAAGTAATCCTCACATGTGCAGGGGAGGGGGTATAATGATTTCTCTTCACTTGCTTTGAAGATGCCTCCCCCGCCCCAAATCCCACTTCCACGCCAAATATTATTAAATTTGGTTTCTCCTCCTCCTCACGCAAGTTCTCTTTCTCTCGCCAGCACCTCCCCCACGTTTTCCTGCTCTCCACCAGTCGGGCCCGACTCCTCCCGGCCCCCAGCGGCGCGCTTCCCCGGCCCG